CTGATATACCGCGCAGCAGAGCAAAAGCGCATGCTCAAAAAGCGTTCCACAGCAGGGGCCCTAATCTGGACACTAGGCGAAAAAGTCGGCGAGAAATCTGGCGGCCGTGATTGGCCAACTCCGCACTTGACCTTGGCGGCGGCCAATCAGAACCGCCGGATTTCTCGGCGACTTTTTCGTCAAAAGTCCACATTAGGGCCCCAGAGCAGACAAAGACGGCAGCGTGCAGAAGCCGATTTTCGCAAAGATCTGTAGTATGTTTCGTCACGTCCGACCGCAGTCGAAGCCGCATACTAAAATACTATAACCGCAAATCACTGGGCCTTCTGTATAATGATTGGATTGGCAATAAAAGAACTGGTAAAGAGGCAATACAAATACCATGACGTTGCGTTTTCAAGGTTGTTTGATTCGTCCCATGGACTGGTAGCTTTGGCTGCGTCTGAATTGAAGGTCTAACGAAGTAAGGAAGTCATCGGAAGTTTCGTTCTAAAGCACCAGAATGATGAGAGCGGTGCTCGCGTTCGTGATACGGAAGGAAGCCTACAATATACCGTCCGAAAAAAAAAGAAACACGAAAAGTAAGAAACGCGAAAATAGCAGATAAAGAAATTAGAAATGAAAAAAAAAAACAAGGAGGGAAAGAAGGTGGAGGAAAGGTGGCGATTAATATTGCACACATACATACACAGAGGCTCGCACGCACACGCGCAGATACACACACACGCGTGTCAGTACCCATACATAGACACACACAAAGTCTCGAAGGTGGGTTCGGAATGTTAGGATGAAGCAGAATCGGTCTACAGTTTTATGTACCTCAGACAAACTTCCAGTGGGAATACTTGTACCCAAGACCCGTTTGTAAAGAGAGAAGTTGGCTAACGTGTGTTCGACGTCAATCTCGTTCTGCTGAGAGCACAGAGTGGAAATTGTTTGATGTTTTCGGATATCTGCGACTGTGGGTATGCTATAGAACCGAATGGATAAGACTGCGAAAATATATATCTGCTATATTGTGCACTTTGCGTGAGACGTAGAATAGAAAATACACTGACCACCTTAATTTCAGGTCATTTTGGAGGGGGGGGGGGGGGGAGGGGGACCGTGAAGGTGGACATATTGGAAGTGGAGACGTATATGCTGGCTTCTTAGATAAATTTGAGGGGATGCCAGCATCATCTTGCTGTGTTGATTGCTGATCGCTGACCCTCTCCATTCTGGGAAGCTCTTGTGAGGGTGTTGAAAAGGGAGGCCACATGTTGGCTCGTCGTATCCGTGTAGTGGCGCTGCATTTCATGATGAGCTTTGCTGGATCCGCGGTCCCGCACCGAGGGCATCCACCGGTAGTAATCCTTTCTGTGTCGTCTGGGGTCCACATTCACCTGGGTGCTGGGTTCCAGATTGACCGCATTCATTTGTTCAGTTTAGTCTGCAGGGCTGGTGTTAGTGCCGTCCTAATGCGGATGCGACGCTGGATAATGCGGTCCCTCCGGCCTGCTGGTCGCTAAACGGGCCTTGAGAAATCAGGACTACTAGGGCCTTGCACCGCCTGATGTTTCCCAGGAAGAGCAACTTGTCATGGTCGTTATTACGTGCTTTAAAAATAAATAACTTTGCTTCGGACACTCAAGAATGATCTCATGAATTTCTTTACCGATGACAGTCATCTATGGACATAGCCAAGGAAGTCACAAAAGCTCAAATTTGTACAAAGACAACTCCATATGTTCTAGCGATCGATCGATAGGGAACCTAGGTTAATTTGTTGCCCGCCCGGGTAGTTACTATGAAGTTAAGACGTTTCTTTGAAATATATACACCAGCAAAGCCCTAAAACTGTCTATTGCGTGCCAACGTATATTTAGGGATACTGCACATAAAACATTTCTACATATCAGCGTGCAAAATATAATTTGCCATGTATAAAACTTAATGTCAATTTCGACTGACTTGGACGTTTTTGCCATGCATGCAAAATTCGCGTTTTCAAGCGCCTGTGCAAGATTTACAGCTAGCGTTAGTGAGAAATTAGGGTTTGATATGGCCCTATTGCTATAATGATGAAGCAAGAGGACGAGGACGAGTTGAAGAAAATAATACATTATGCGACCGAAGCGAAGGCACTATTAGCGCCAAGATGTTTCGGTGGCGCCCCCTTGCGGTTTCCGTTCGTGACGACACACGCATGATTTTGCTCGCCATGGCGTCACGAGTTTGAATCCTGGCCACTTACCATCACTTCCAAACTACACGTCGTTTCAGCGTAAGTCAAGACGCAACCCACGGGGCGATCGGATATATCTAGCAGCGTCGAAAGCGCAAGTAACTATACCTTTTTCAGTTGATGATTGTTTAAGCAATAATAGAACACGTGACAAATAGCATGATGGTGCGCTTTTGAAGTTGTCTCATTGCTATCACTAGCTCGCGGCGTCGGCTGCGTCGAGACTTTAGATTAAACAAAGTATGGAATTCTGATGGTGTGCGTAAAACGCACTATAAAAGCTTGAATTCATGGCATTTTGGAATCGTACCAAAGAGTCCGGCACCGTTTTTATTTCCGTCGATATTATCAAAATTAATCTAAATAACGACATCATGATTGAGCGTTTGGCGAATCACGAATGCCGGCCACACCGGTGCTCTAGTTCGCACACACTGCCAATGCGGAGCGTCACTTCGTCTGCTTTTTGCACAAGAGTTCCGGTGACGACAGAACGCCGAGCAATTATTGGCTTATTGAAAAATATAGTGAGTAGACCATGAGTCATTTAGCATTGGCTGTGTTTCAAATCTTACTCGGAAGGATATTAGTTACTCCTGGGGATCATGTCACAAGACAGATAGAGCAGTGCTGGACGGGGATAGGTTTTTGAACGCCAAGGTGCAGAACATATACCCTAGAGTGACATCGAGTAAATTTTGATTCTCTTAATCAAAGGCAATAAGAGCACGGCGTAGGTTTTGACGTCACCGCAACTCCTGCGCAAGAAGCAGACGATCTCCGCATAGTCGCAGACAGCTTAAGAAACCCAGGGCGTGGCTAGTCCTGGCATCTCATTATCGCTTCGCTTCATTAAAGTTGTGGCATTAACCGATAAAAAAGACGAAGAAAGGCACAAGACGCGTGAACGTAATAATTATCGTCCCACGTTTCTTGAGCTGCCGGTGACTTATACTGCTCTGTGTTACATCATGAAACCTGATTGATTCAACCTGCTGACCGTTTCAGGACCACGCAGATTTCCCAGCACCCAGTTGGCGAAGGTGGGCGGAGCGTAAGTTCGTCTGCTACTTTTGCAGGGGTTGTGGTGACGTCAGAGCGCCGAGCTCTGAGCGACTCTGATTGAAAAATAGTGGGTAGACCTCGATGCAGCTTGCTTTAAGGTCTACCCAATATCCTTCAATCAGGGCCAATCAGAGCTCGACGTTCTGACATTGCTACAACCCTTGCAAAAGTAGCAGACGAACTTCCGTTTCGCATAGACATTGAACGACCGACACGGCGTGGTTGCTTGGGATTCCTTGTATCCCTTACGTAGTATATATAGTCTGTTAAGCAAAATAGAATGTAGCTAGCGCATTTTATTGTGCTAATAAATATATTTGGAAAGCTCATTGTAGTTTTTTATACATAGGGTGTCCGAAGTCACCACGCGCAATCTAAAAAGGGCCATAAAAATTGACGCCTGCATTTAGCAATGCGAACTTTTCGTTAAAGGTGTATTTCACAGGTTGGGTTTGCCTCGTAATAGTACAAAGCGTGGTTTTTTCCCCCATAAAAATAGGGCCAAGAAACTTGCCAGGGGCAACGGCGGGTGACGGCGCAGACGATCAAATCGAGTAGCGGGGCGAGTTTGGCGCTCGTATTGATAGATGGCGATACCTCCTTAACGAGACTGCTCTCAACCACAGTGGTTTATTAAAATGAACATAATATTTTTGTAATGCACCTGTGGTTAAAAAATAAATCCCGACAGTAAAAGCAAAACAAGAAAAAAACGCGTTTGCATAACGACGGCGCTTTTGCTGCCAACGGATTTCGTCTGCGTGTCGTCTGCTTTCTTTCGCTGGTCTGCTACACCTTCGGACGCTGCTCCCGACGCCATCTATCAATACGCGCGCCAAACGCACCCCGCAACTGGACTCGGTCGTCTGCGTCGCCGTCCACTGTTAACCCTGTCAAGTTTTTTGGCCCTATGTTTTACAGAAAGGAAGCTAGGCTTTGTAATTTTACAAGAAAAACCGACCTGCCAAATACACCTTTGGTGAAAAGTTTAGATTTCTAAGTGCGCGCGTCGAGTTCTACGGTCAATTTTAGATCGAACCTGGTGACTTGGGACACCCTATATTTCTTCACCACTTTGTACACATATAGAACTCAAATTGATAAGGCATAGCGCGACTTTTACATTTTGGACCGGCATTGATACATTGGTCTTTATATATTTATCTACTCAGTATACCACAGGCAAACAAGGAGAGAAAGAAATTGAGGCACGGACCACTTTGTTTGTCAATGCATTGCAATTGAGTAGCAACGTGCGCCACATAACCCGTCACCATGATCGGCGTTCCAAGATTAACGTAACTGATGGAACGCTCACTATTGCGTCATTCGTAGGATGTATTATACATTTATAGACGAAATTAAAAGGTTCTGTCAGATTGTAAATTTTCATGATGGTGGTTTATGAAGGCGATGACTCCAAACTTGCAAAATGCTTTTTACACACGCCATTGACCTTGTCGTTCGCCACTGATAATCCTTGTCATTACATCAAGGAGCAAGCCACGAGAAGGCATCCTCAAAGCATCTAGCCGCTGATAGAGGAACATGGTGTTGTATCTGATTCCCGTTTAAAGAATATAGTCGAACCGCGCCTTTCTTGTACATTTATTTCTATCAAAAACGCGTAACATTACAGGAAACTTAAAAAAACAAACAATGAAGGGCCATTACTATTTTCCCGGAAGTTCTGACAGAACCCAGTCTCAAGTGCCGTCGTCAGCTCCGTCGTGCACACGCAACAGTGTCTCCTGGCTGTGGGCTTTATCCCGTCGTGTCAATAATATCGATGATAATAGGTTTGTGAACCCTGAAATCTGAGATAAACCGTCTGAGAGATGGTCAGGCGATGCGCTGACGAGATGCTTGAGGGGATAAGATACCCCGGGGAGGTTTGCCCTTCAAAGAGAGCGCAACATTCTGTAGTGCTGTTTTTCTCAACGCGAGCGTGTGTGAGCCCACTGCGAGGATGGCCATGGAAACCCATCACTTTCTGTCAGGTACGTAAATGAGCATTTTCTTTGTCCGGTGAAATTCTACATTTATTCGAGTAGTTTTTAGTATAACTAGGCAAATACTAAGCTTAAGATTCCAGCCGAAGAAAGGGAATTCACCAAAAGTTAATCAGAAAAAGAACGAACGGAAGCTTAAACATAACTGGAGTAAAGCTTATGCTTCTAAACATACTTTATGCACTCCGCTTGAGGTGAATTCACTGAAAAAAGTCAAGATTGAGAAGCCCTATAGGAACTTAATGTCAACTTGTCTAAATGGCTAAAAACAGATTGGAGCTCGAAAGTAGAGTAATTAAGGTGAGCGCCAAGCCAAATCAATGAATCTGTAATTTGTATTTATGTTAATTTTATTATCGAATGTAGAATAAATTAAAATTGGAATAATTTTAGCGAAATATGGCTAGAGCCAGAAAAATGACAAAGTGAGGCCACATTGTGTCGCATCGATCAAAAAGGAGTGTGAAAGTTAAGTTCAGTGACAATTGGGTTTCAGACAATATTTTCATGGAGACTTAAATTACGGGAAAACCGACTGTTGCTAAAGTAATAAATATTTGATACGGAATACGATCTATGTGAGCGGATAAAGATATTTTTTAAAATTGGCAGCGATCTGAAAGCTGGTAATTAAGAATGATCGGAATAATGACACGCTACAGGATTGAAGTTTTTATGTACCCATGAACAACTTGGTTTGCGGGAGCCCATATGGCTCTGACGCTGCGGTGTATTGAAAGGTAAATTTCTTTATGGCTATTTGTATTTGATAAGTGAAAGCCAGAGAAGCTGGTCTTGACGGACGTTTGTAGCCAGCTGCTTGAAAACGCCCTAAAAGAATGAGTGAATCCTTAAACGCGCCTTCATGAAAGGAGAATTGCTGTTTGAGTTGAAATTGAATGAACTTTTTCATTCTTTCACGAAGGAGAAAAATTTACATTTTAGATAAGGGGTACATTCAGTTGAAAAGCACAACGACACTGTTCGACGGGGTCTTTTTAGTAGATTATCTTGGCCTGTCAAACTTCAGAATTCAAATTTTAACTTATCATTCTAGAAGCTGACGAAATACTCTAATATCTTATTGTTCTCAAGATAAACTAAAATAATTAAATATTTGTAAATTTATTCAGGGCTGATAGGCGTAATACTTAACAATTTTTGCCGCTTGCCGAAGGTGAGCAGAAAGCTCCGTTATACCAGACTCATTTTACGAATAAAAAAAAAACATGATATCTAATGTGACGTAGCAGGTGTTAGCAAAAATTACATTTTATTTGTCTCTGCTTCAAGAACTCAAGCTTTAAATAAATTTTTACATAACTGCTTCAAGCATACTCTCATGTAACGAATAGAAATCGACCGAACTCAAGGACGAAATTAGATTTTGTTACCAGCTGAAGTATGCTTTAGAGCACATACCCTAATTATAGGATGCCGTAGATGCAGAAAGCCTTGAGATATCATATAGAAAGTTGCAAGCATTGCGCCCTGGCTAAAGGTCGATGAGTGCCCCGTAATTGCACGTACTCACATAGACAATCAGGAACAAGGGGTCGACCGGATATACACGATGTGACTATACGTATTGCGTATAATCTGCCGTTTTCTTCCTTTGTCAGGCAGAAATAAATTTAGGTGAAAGAAGTATTTTTTGTATACATCTTTTCAGGAACCGTACGAGAGAAGGGCAAGACACCTTCAGTGATCGATTACAAGGGTGTCCCCGTACCCGGATTTCTGCTGCCGGAGTGTGTCGATGCCGCCTCCAAATACAAGCCCACAAAAGATGACCTGTTCATTGTCACGTACGTCAAGTGCGGCACTACGTGGATGCAGCACATCGTGTACCTCATTCAGAATCAGGGAATACCACCAACCAACGCGGGACAGTTCTACCTATCGAGCCCATACATTGAACTCATGGGCACCGAATTCGTGTCCATCATGAAAAGGCCGGGCGCCATAAAGACACACTTTCCTTACCATCTGGTTCCGTTCAGTCCAGATGCCAAGTATATCCTTGTGATTCGGAATCCCAGAGATGTCATCGTGTCTCTTCATTACCATTGGCTCATGTTCCCGGGATACGAGTACAACGGAACTTTTGACGATTCTTTTGAGAACTTCATGAGTGGTGAGGCCGACTACGGCGACTACTTCCAGTATTACCGGGACTGGTACGATCACAAGGACAAGAAGAACGTGCTCTTCGTCGTCTTCGAAGATCTAAAGCGCAACCCTGAGACGGCGGTTCTGGAGGTGGCTAGGTTCATGGGCAACGGATACGAAGAGACGCTGCTAGCAAACAACAAGGAGATTTTAAAAAGGGTCCTTAAGTACAGTCATGTGGACGAGATGAAAAAGTACACCAACGACATGATCCACTCGTTTTTCCAGTGTGAACTGGAGACAAACGCTTCGAGAGGACTTAGGCGCTTCCACGATTCCATTCGCCAGGCCGGGCCTGATGCACCAAGGAAGGTCATTTACGTCCGCAAGGGAATCATCGGGGACTGGAAGAACCATTTTTCCCGCGAGCAGCTGAGAAGGCTGAACGAGAAATTTAAAAGAGAGACTGCTGGCACAGAACTCGCCACACTGTGGCCTGACATGGATTTCGTCTAGACGTTGAGACACTAAACGTGGAGGATAATATGCAGGGTGTTTTGTTTTATGTTTTAGACATTTGTGGAAAAAAAGGGAAAATATTCACTAATCCGGTCTGCTCAAGTGAATTATTGTGCCTGGTAGATAAAAGTAAACAATTGAATTGTCACAATAAGTGAACTAATTAACAAGAATTTCTTAATTACATTTGTTTATTAAAAAGAGACCAATTGTTTTAATTAAAACTTTGGTGAGCCTCATAAAGAGCACCAAATATGTATATATGGAAAGGTTTGACTACACGTGGGAGGAGTGGTGATGCGCCAGAAATTAAAACTCGTGCAACGGGCGCGTGCTGGTGGTGCGAAAAGGAGAATAATAAAAGACGAAAGAAATGCGCGGGTGCATTTTTGCATTACTAACCTTGCTCCTGGTACACGAGTGGACCATTTAATGTGAGCCATATTCACACGCGACCGATATTTTTCTAAATGTTTGCTAATTTAGTGGTTTTTGATGACGCTCAGCAAGTTCCCGATTAAAGCCATATCTCCATGTCTTGAATAATTAAAAAGTTAAATAACAAGTTTTGGCCGATTAACACACGTATCGTAACGATTATTCATCTATATTATCACCCCCAGGCCCTACAACGTGCCTACTCAAACCGCATTACTGTAGCTGTCAGGGAATTTACAAAAAAATACGTAAAGCCTTAACAACACCCTGTATATACTATATTCGGCTTCCACTTGAGCATCTCATGGTTGCCACCTTTGCGCGTGTATTACGTGATGTGTGCCTGATTTTGTCTGTGTTTACATCAATGACATTTGACTATCAAGTCATACCAGTGTCACCGAATTGTTAGTTCTATCTTTGGTATCTTGACATTAATATCGTGGTTCTACATTGCATTCATGTTGGGATTACTGTTTTATAGAAATAGATCTGAAATATTATTTCATATAAAATTACAGTCATGAATTTATGCAAATCACACAAACTGAAGCGATTTCAGCTTAATTTCTTAAATGGTATTCTCAGCCGTTGGGTTCGGTAATCCGCACAGCAAACTATATAGTGAGAAAGCTAAGCGAAAATACATTCGCTATTCTTAATTTAGGTTAATAATTTTAGGAACTAGAGTAATTACAAATGGGAGACATCTAGAGAGCAGTTTTTAACACCAAAGTACCTAATATTTTCATGATCGTGAAAGTATATTTTCTCTCACGTGATGTATCGATTGAAATCGTAAATGATTTTTCCTCGACCCTGCATTAAGGCAAAATATGCTCATAATTTCTCGGCGTTTCTGTATATGCATATTGCACTCATGATATTTTTTAACACAGCCTAACTCACAGTTTACTGTAAGTTAGCTTGTATTTTGTTGCAATATCCCGGGGCCGTCGTTATTTGATCTCATCGATAAAACTCAATGGTTTGAGACGGATTAGACCCCTCAGAGATTTTGATGCAATCTTTTCAACCAGCTCAATTAAATTATGAGTAAAATGTAGCGAAGTATAAAAAAAAAGACAAAAACAGGATCTGAAATGTGAGAAGGGTCTTGTTCCACTAGACAAAGAAGTAGCGTAAACTGCTCGAAAGCACGTCAGCTAAGCTTTGATAAGAATCTTTGTTCACCCTCGAAAAACCAAAACTGACCGGGCAAATGCAATGTTTTTTAGCAAGCGCCATTGCGAAGTATTGCTGGGGTCACCAAATTACTGAATTTGTTATGCCGTCAAGCTGCACTGGTTCTTTGTTTGTTTTGCGCTCAGAAGCAGGGTCACGCTGATGTGAAGTCCACCACGCCAACAGCGTTTCACTCTAGAAAAAACAGCTGCTTCTACTTTCTCGCTAAGCGCTTGGGAAAGCCAAACGCTGCAATCTATACACCATTTCTACAAAGGCGCCGCCATCTTGAATGTCGTCAGTTCCAATATGGGCGAAAACACTGTTTTGCCGCCGCCCCGCCAATAGAAAACATTCAGGATATAACCATAACGATAAGATATCTCGTTTTGCATCACCTCTATTTCAGGATATAACCATAACGGTAAGATATCTCGTTTTGCATCACCTCTATTTCGTTAGTATTCTTGCAGGTAGAAATGTCGTACTCCTTCTTTGTCGCTCACACCGGATATGTCGGCCAGGTGGCTGAAGACGAGAGTAAACTAAGAAAGGTCTATACGGCGTGCAAGTTAGTCTGCCCCTTGCGTACCTCGTTCATTTGTTTAACCCCCACCTCCCCCCTCCGACCTACCTCAAGCAATGAAGTCGCACGCCTGGCCAGCTCGTCAAGGCACGTTTCCTGCCAATTATCTTTGCCTTTCTTTAATTGGCGTGCTCCTCCTTCCCGGCCGATACGCCAAAGACGCATTTTGGAACACTTGCTCGCCATATAGACTTTGTTTTGTGTACTCACGTCCCCAGCAACCTACTTGGCGTATTCGGTATGGGCCACGAAAAAATAACAAAAAGTTTTAACCTTTAAATAGTAAACAAATTATTGGGGAGGCAAAACGAGAATGTGTGACAGTTAAGCTTAAATCCTAAATGTATTTTCTTGACCTGGCGATGGCAAACAATATTTTCGCCCATACTGGAAGTGACGACAATTCGAGTTGGCGGCGACCTTGTGAAAAAGGTCTATAGAGGAACCTCGACGAATGACGAGGCTGCGAATATGTATAAATCTAAAAATAAACAGCCGGCTCTGGGGTTCTTATCATGACGAAAGCGTGTGAAACTTCGTGCTTAGTGTTATAGCGGAGACTACTTTCTAGGTGTAAAGGTATTTTGAAGTCCATCATTCACCGAGCTTGCTTTATAAATTGTAATGATTGGTTTCCCCATTTGTCTAGCGGTAGAGCATACACACTAGATTTCTTCGGTTGTTTACACAGCACTTAGCAGCACATTGATAAGGCATAAGTAAATTTCCGAGGTCTTTCAACACCGGAAACTTAAACACTGGTGTGGAGGTTGGTAAATTACAATTGACGTCGTTGATTACCCAAGAAAGATCTAGAAAAGAAAGAGGGCGACAACTAAGAGGTCTACGAAAACAGACGATAAATTAGGCCTACTGGCTCTTTTCGTGTTTTTTGTTTTACTGTTTTATTTTACTAGTGTGCGTGTTTCAGTGTTAATTGTATTCGTGCAATGTAAATTATAAATATGAATAACCAACTTGCCCAGTCCTACATCTTAGTAAGCCCGCTTGTTTTGCCATGCTGCGGGCAAGTTGGTCTTAGTGACCCTGTATACAATACACGCTTCCGATGCGTTCTTGGAAAGTACGCATAATAAATAGAATAAAATGACCTATGAAAAACATTTTATACCTTTTTTTACGTTTAGTACAGCTTGGCCAGCAATCTGGGATCAACGTGAACATAGGTGTCTGTATCTATGTCTCGCCGCTCCGAGGTGGCCTAAATGTTTGAAAATGTGATAGGCCTTTTATTTTATAGATTAGTTGTATGAACTCTGCGGTCAACCCAGAAAGTACAAGGCCCAGAGTTTTGGTTCCTATCATCCACTACATTATTCTCACGTGCTTTGGCTGGATGATTTTCTGAATGCCGGTGTTCGACCGCCCTTCAGAATACGTCGGTGCGGCTCCCTTGGCTAAAGGTATTCACTAGACAATTAATTTGTTGATAGATGAAACTACTTTAAAAATCTTACATTGGCTTCTATGCATCACTTCATAAATCAAATATCGCGGATGCGATATTTTATTAGATTAGAGCTGCCAAAGATAAGATTTTAATAAGTTCTTCAACCTAGAGCTTGGCAGAAATTAAGGCCAGGTCTCTGGCTCCAATCTTAACGGACGTCTTACTGAATGTCGGTCAGTGGAGTCACAGGTTTACCTTGGTCTAACGGACATACAACCGCCATGAATAGCAGTGTAATAAGCCGGGGCGCAAACATTCCCTCGTCATTGCGCATATATGTATAAATATTCTCATATTATTTGCACCCCCCGACTGCATACTTACTTTCCTACTACTTACTATAACAAAAAAATATTGCAGCAGTGATTACATTTGTTTCTGTCCCGCTTTTGTGAAGAACAGTTTAGCGAAAGCTCCTAAACTTCTCATTTTAATGGGCAAAACAGGCTTTTGGTTATATTTTGTTAAAGGGAAAGCAACGAATGTATTTTTTAATTAGTATAATATTTGAACTTTAGCCCAACACCAGCATAGAGCAAATAACGGATAATCTCGTCCGGCGTGAAAGGTGCACTTTGCAGCGCTGTTACTTTAAAGGAAACAAATTGATGTGACATGTTTTTTTTTAATAAGCACAAGAGCATGGTGGAGAACTATAACTATAAATTACACAAAAACCAAGAATGTTTTTGTTTGTTTTATTTTCCCTTGAACTGTTTAATTTTATACTTTTGGCCACGTTTCGAGCTACATACAAATGTAAATTTGTGATATAAAGCAAACATTTATAAAACATTCGAAAGAACACTTTAATAAGATTTTATGACATAAGGTTTAATGTTGTGGCTATTCAATTTGTTCAGATAACGGCACAGAAATATAGTGACAAAACATCAAAGGAGTCATGTCTGCACATTTTTGACGCAAAATAGATGACCTACAAAATGCTGTACATACAGTAGCGAACAAAAATATATGATATTTCGTTTCTTTTACTGAAGTATTGCTCGACGTCTAGTGAATAGCCAATAATATTTTGTTTTGATGTGGTACACCATAATGCAGTCTTTTTAGCCACCAACGAGTCGGTTGTCCTGACACCCGTAGGTGTCGCAACAACCGACCCCTGGTGGCGACATCGACAATTTGCTGAATTCCATGCATCGTCGGTGCCAAGCGGTGATCGATGCAAAGGGTTTCCCTACAAAGTACTGATCAGCTTATGTTTATATCTAGACATAGGGTTTTACGCGGTGTCCTATTTTGTCACAACAGCCAGATTACTGACGACGTCCTGTTGCACTGCTGTTACCAGGTTCGCAACAAATATCGATTACAAAAAATTGATTTATGTTTAGGTAAGCATCAGTTTCTACTCTATAAATACGTTAATGTAGTGCTCCATTACAATTTTGATATCTGTATCACAGTTCCAAGAAAAGTTACCCACGTAAAACCGAAATATAATATATTTTTGTTCAGTGCTGTATATTAATATATAGTTTCCATGCTCTATTATAGCTGCAAAATATTTTAGATTTCTGATATTTGTAGTTTGCGTAGTAGGTGCTGCCAAACATTAAATAAAAGACAACTTGAAAAATTTAATATGGCGTTATAGCACATTCAACATTGTTTCTCTTCAAATATCATGTTTTTCGCAAAATCATTTTGACCTCGTTCCCTGCACACGCTAAAAAGTAGCTTATTAGAAATAACAA